TCGCCCTATCTCTGTTTGCCGAAGAGAAGAAGTCCTGCCCGAGCTCCAGAAATTTGTATTGAATGAGGATCTATCGCGGGGTGCGTATAAAACGTATTGATATGATCACGAGATGGTGCCCTGGGAGGAGCTTATTGGTCCTTGCTCAGGCCTTGAACGTTTTCCGATCCCTCTGGTAGTGGATCAGATCCGCTTGGGTGAATCGAAGGTAACAGTGCATCAGCGATGATGATGCGGTACTACCGTTTGCCATTCAGGAGGAGGCCTCGACTCGAGTATGGCCGCCAACATTCACATACGTTAACCGATCAGTAGCGGGAAGATCGTCGTTGGGCACCGTTATTCCCATTCGCTGTGTTGGTGCGTGTGTTGGGTGCCAAGGGGATCGGTGAGCTGGGGGTGGAGTGAATCATTGAACGTACTCGTCAAGTCAAAGCCGGCCCCTTACTAATAGGAATCTCACTGCTACTTTACGGGGGGGATCCCACTCATGAGAGTCCGAGTCATGTTGTAACCACCTTGGCTCGATTAGTTGGTATACCAAACGGAACCTAACGAAGTTCCATTCTCGAGAGGTCTTCCATGATAACGTAGAATCAGACAAGTTTTCAGCAGCAACGCGGTCAGTAAGAGTATTGAATGGATTGAAATCCCTTCCGGTGGACTATAGAAATCATATCATAATAGAGCAGCCATTCTGCGATGTGGGACAAGGGGCTTGCCGAGTGGCTGAGATAATTCTGCAAGCCCTTACGGTTCAACCTTACAGGAATCGAGGACCTGAGAGACTATCCAAGGTGTTCGGGGAACGACATGGTCACTACTGACAACATCTCCGTGATGGATCTTATGATGCGGGATCCCTAGGGGATATTTCCCAGGAATTTTCTTGGGAGCAACGCTAGGTTTCGTCCGAGGAATTCTCATTCTTTGGAGGCCTGCTATTTTTTGCGATCGATCACGCAAAGCCCGGGAGCGCGATCACATCGAATTGAGACACTGCCCTGTAGGGTTCCATTCATCGAGAATGGGCGTAAGGGTTTAGCTCTACGCGGAGGTGATTAATAGAGGGCGCGTCACCAGGGTAGATAGACATGATTGAACTCCCTACAACCTCCATACTATATCAGGCTTCTTTCAACTTCCGGTGGTCGCTATCATGATACAATATATGGTATAATGCCATTGTCGCGATGGTATTGCAACCACGCGATAGGTGATAGAGGTTCTATTATGGAGTGTAGAACGGCTCAAAGAGTACAGATCTTCTTCATCGAACTCAATCTTTTGCGAGGTTCCAGCTGACTGACCAAGACGCTCCCTGGAATCTCGATTCCAAACCACAACCGTTGGTGTGGTGGTGTCCATTAGAATGAGACTGTCACACGATTATCACGGGATCATAATGGAAAGCGAATCGAGATTTCAATTATGTCATCCATTTAGCCATTTAGCATTAATCGTCCTGGCTCAATGGATTGTTCAGGAAGAAAATGAGGCGTATTCGATCAGTTCATTTCAGCTCCTTAATATTCTTAATTTCAAACCGGGATCCCTTCTACATTTTTGCTCACTCAATGAATTCACTTGCTGAAGTGGAGTTCACTCAAGTAGATTACGGACACTGTTGTCCAAGCTGGAGCTCTGGCACTTCTCGAGAACCACTCTATGATAGAAAGTACTATTCAGAATGCGTTAACTGAAAGCCTCTCCAAACCTGCAAAAATAACGCATCACCTGGAGGGAAGTGGGAGTATTTTGACTTGAAAAGATCGGGTCGCCTTATACGGCGAACCACAAATATCGACGCTCTTGAGAGGCAGCATCATCGGATCGTCGGTTATGCGGTTTTGGCCCCCAAGCCGCACCCAAAACGTCTGCTCGTGATGCGCGATATAAGTCTTCTCCCTTTCAGATGCCATCGGGAGCCATCCTCGAAGGAGAAGGAGCTCCGAGAGGTTGAGTGGAATAATCGTGCACGAGTTACTCTGGGCACTTCAGATTGTGGGCGGACATCTCTCTGCAGCTGGGGTGCATATACTAAGAATGGTAAACAACTTCTACAGGCGTCATGTAACAGACGAGTATGACTCAGCGTCCCACCCTATAAGCATGTGCTCGAAATAGATCATCGTCGACGTTCTCGAAAATGCTCACCCGCATGTTCCATTATTAGGATATCTTAAGTGGACTTTGGACTGCATTGTCGAGTGCAACTTCCTATGCGATTGCAATTACAATACCTGTCCACTTCGAGTTGTTCAGAAGGGCCTCACAAAACGGCTTGAAGTGTTCTGGTCGGCTCCCGTCCTCGGAGCGTCAGTTTTATGAGTCTTTATCGGTCAGGACTGGTCGCGAACGAGGTTGGGGAGTAAGGTCATTAGATGTCATCAAGGTGAGCGAAGCCTCCGAGAGGCTTCCGGGACTTGAGATTGAGGGACTGGTGCGCGCTATAGGCAGGAGCGTTCATATGCGAATATGCCGGCGAGCTCTTGCCAGAGAGCGTCGCTGAGACCCGAGGAAAAGAACTCAGTGATAACTACCTTTTCGACCTAGCCCGTCATGGTGCTGGTAAAATGTGAGTTCCACGCTCACAGATGTACTCAGCTGTGAACTGATCCCCCTAGGTGGAAAGTAGGGGCAGCCGGCTCACAGCCTCCACGAAAGAAGAGATCAACACTAGCTGGTGATCTCGAGATGGAGACGGACTTGAGCGGAGAGGTGCAATACTCTGACTCATCGTGCTCAGATGCCTTGTCTCTTT